GAGGAGGAGGAGGAGGGGGACGAGGACGAGGACGAGGACGAGGACGAGGACGAGGTTGAGGACGAGGAGGAGGAGGAGGAGGAGGAGGAGGAGGAGGAGGAGGAGTAGGCGACCGCGCAGGCGCCCTCGTCCCGGGGGCCTTCAGGGGGCCAGGGCGTGGCCCAGGTCGGCGGGACCCCGCGCGCGGGCCCTGGGGCCAGGGGGGGGTCCCGCGGCGGGGCCGGGAGGTTGACTGGGGGTGTTCCAGCGGGGCAGTGGGCCTCGCCTGCGAGCTCCCAGGGGCGGCCAGCTCAGGTGTAGCGTGGCGACAGTTGAACTATCCCGGCTGCGGGCCGCCTCTGGGCGCCGTCGGGGTTTTCTGGCGGCTGGCTCGGGCGCGTCTGGGGCTGCTGCCACTCCTGCCTGGTAACCCCGCTCTGCGAGGGTGCCTACCGATGGGCGGAGGAGCACAACGCACCTGTCGCGGAGAAGGCCTGACGTGCGTTTCTCCTGGAAGTAAGGGCCCAAGATGCGGTCGAACCCGCGAACCCTATCGTCCGAAGCCGTATCAGCTGAAGTTTTTCGGCGGCTGCGTGGTTGCGCATGGAAATCGAGTAGAGACGGAGAGCCTATCGTTCGGAATCTCGGCGCAGCAGCGTGCCAGCCGCTCACGCAGCCTCTGCACAGCAGACTCGCAGAAGTCGGCCCTCCCGGTCGTCCTGGATATTTTCTGACGCGAGCTATTGTGTGTTCACATATGGCCATGTCTTCTGGATCAACAGCTCGTGGCTTCCTTAGCGTCGCAGCGCACAATGCACAGCGTCGACTGACCCTTCCGGCAAGTTGGCGTCGGTGGCTTGGTGGTGCGTCGGTGCGTCCAAGTGTTCTGCATCAGAAGGGGAAGTTGCACGAGGAGAAAGAAACAGAGAAGGAGCAGCAGCGGCAACGATGAATGAAGTAATTACACTTTGGCGGCAGAAGATCCGAAACAGCAGAGCCGGAAGGCAAAGAGGGCAATATCCGGCTGCTTGCGGCAATCCTTGCCACCTTGCGGCGCAGCAGCGCAACATGAGGGAGGTTGAGTCAAAGGCCCATTGCAAGTCAGCGCGCGGTCTGACTTCGAGCAGGTCGGTCTTAAACTCGATGTCAATCCCTCGACTCCTGTTGTTTTTCTGAGAGCTTTTCGGGGGGGTCCTGGAGGGCCTCTTGGGGACCTCGTGGGCCGCCTTAGGACTCTGCGGGCCCGCCTGACGCATTCGGAGGCCGTCTTGGGGGCCTCTCTGGGCCGCCTTGGGATCATCTTGGGGCGTTTTCCGGGGGCCATCATGGAGGTCTCTTGGGGCCGTCTTGGGTCATTCTGACAACTTTCTTGAAAGCCTATTAAGACATACTGGGGCCTCTTGGGCCGCTTTGGAGGCCTCTGGTGTCGTCTTGGGCTGTCGGAAGCCAGAAACAGCGAGAACGCCCAAACATGAATCCAAATACACATTAAAAAACAATGAATGAATGTGGCTGATCCAGGCCTCCTGGAGAAAACCTGGGAGCTCTCTTAGGCTAGATCGGGGGCCTCTTGGGTCGTCATAGAGCTCGCCTTCGGGTGTTGTCTTGGAGCCTCTCTGGGCTGTCTTTGCGCCCTCTTGAAGCGATTTCGGGCTGTTTGGGAGGTCTCTTGGGCCGTCTTGGGGCCGTCTTGGGGGCCTCATGGGCCGTCGTGAGACCCTTTCGGCTCGTCGGCTCGTCTTGGAGCCATCTGGGGCCTTATCGGAGTCCCAACAGAGTTGGATCATGAAGAACATTCAAAAAATATACCGGATACCAGCTTAATTATTCGGATCCGCCTGGAGGGTTTCTTGGAGCCCTCTCTCTTGGAGCCCTCTTGGTCTGCGTTGGAGGCCTTTGTGGCAGTTTTGGGACCATGTACGGTCATCTCCGAGGCATAGTTGACCAGCTTGGAAGCATCTTGGGGCCGTCTTGGATACTCTTAGTTGTTTTGACGCTGTCTGGAGGCCAGACAGAGCGCCGAAAAACACCAAATTTGTGGGGGCACGTTCAAGACCGCGCGCTGAAAAGGGCAAGCGGCCCGAGAAACGCTAAAGCAACCTCCACCAGACAGCAGAGGAGCAGTCTAGCACGCCCCAGCGTGCCATGGGCACGGTGGCGTACACTGCCCTGCACATACGGGAGGCCATACGCCAAATCATGTGGGAGACCATGCCGGAGACCATAGAAGAGTCACCGCTTCCGCAGCCGGCAATGCCGCCCGCCCGGCCTTGCTTACAATCCCCAGGTAGAAGCTTTACACACGAGCTGCCCAGGGAAAGAAGGAGGAGCACGAGAAGGAGAAGGAGAAGCGGCAGCCCTAACTTCCCCCGCTACTTCCCTTCCGATTACCACCAGTACTCGTCCTCTTCCTCCCTCTCCTGATGCCCCCCCCCCTCATATCCTCGTTGTCCTCCACTTCATCCCGCCCCTTCCTACATCTCCTCCTCCTCCTCCTCCTCCTGCTCCTCCTCCACCTCCTCCTGCTCCTCCCCCTTCCTCATCCTTCTCCTCCTCCTCGTCCTCCTCCTCTCTCCTCGTCCTCCCCCTTGTTCTCCTCCTCCTCCTCCTCCTCCTCCTCCTCCTCCTCCTCCTCCGCCTCCGCCTCCGCCTCCGCCTCCTCCTCCTCCTGCCCTTGCTGCTTCTCATACCTCCCTCCCCCTCTTGCTCCTCCTCACCCTCCTCCTCCCCGCCTCCTCCTCTTCCTGCCTCCCCTCCTCCTCCTCCTCCTCCTCCTCCTCCTCCTCCTCCCCCTCCCCTCCCCCTCCCCTCCCTCCTTCCCTCCCCCGCCCGTTCCCGCCCCCATCCGCCGTCCAGGCCCTTTTTCTGAAGGCATGTGCTCGACGACTCCTCCCCCTCCTTCCCCTCCCGCCCCCATCCGCCGTCCAGGCCCTTTTTCTGAAGGCATGTGCTCGACGACTCCACGCCCAGGTGTCAAGCGTGCGACGGATAGGCGTCCAAGGCGACCTGCCTCTGAGTGGTGAATCTCCTCCTCCTCCTCCTTCCAGCCCCTGTGCAGCCAAGGCGCTGAACGAAGGCACAGCTTGGGTTCCGCCTTAGGTCCTTCCCTGGCTGCTCCTCTAGCCCTACTCGCACACCCAGGCCCTCCTGGTGCCCCCAAGGGACTTCGTTCCCCAGCTTGCGTTCCTCCTCTCAGCAACACGACTGCATCCATAGGGGGGGCGGGCGGTTTCATTGGGGATGGGTGGAGGAGACACATCACATGTGGTTGCCCAAGTCATTTGAAGTCTAGTTGTGTGTTTCGTGTGGCCACTTCGCTCACTCGCAGCTCCGTGAGTTGAGCAAGCCGTGTTGCCATCGCGTTGACTTTGAGAGTCGCGAGTACCCCGCACGGATCAAGGGGAGAAGCGGCCAAAGCAATTCAGCCAGGCTGAAGTTCAACGTCGTTCATAATTCGTTTCGACCACTGCGTGGGACTGGTCGAACCTCGAACCCCTCCTCTTCCTCCTCTTCCTCCTCCTCCTCATCATCCTCCTCCTTCCCCCCCTCCTCCTCCTCCTCCTCCTCCTCCTCCTCCTCCTCCTCCTCCTCCTCCTGCTCCTGCTCTTCCCCCTTCTCCTCCTCCTCCCATCCTCCTCGTCGTCCCCCTCGTCCTCCTCCTCGTACGCCTCGACCTGGATTTACCTGCGGTTAGCGGCCTGTGAGTTCTCCGAACGCGGCCATCCCTTCCTCCTCATCCTCCTCCTTCTTCTCAACATCCTCCTCCTCCTCCTCCTCCTCCTCCGCCTCCTCCTCCTCCTCCTCTTTCCTCCTCTTCCTCCCTCCTCCACTCCCTCCTTCCTCCTCCCCTCCTTCCCGCCCTCCTCCCTCCCCCTCCTCCCCCCTCCCCATCCCGACGTTCCCCCTCCCCCTCCCCCCACCCCCCCTCTCGTCTTCTTCCTCCTCCTCCTCCTCCACCACCTCCTCCTCCTCCTCTCTTTCCTCGGCATCTTCATCATCATCATCATCATCATCATCATCATCATCATCATCATCATCATCATCATCATCATCATCATCATCATCATCATCATCATCATCAGCATCAGCATCAGCATCAGCATCGGCATCGGCATCGGCATCGGCATCAGCATCAGCATCAGCATCAGCATCATCATCTGCAACATCATCAGCATCAGCATCAGCATCAGCAGCAACAACATCAACATGTCCACTATCAGCAGCAGCATCCTCATAACTATCATATTCATCGTCAGCAGCATCACCATCACAACCACCATCAGCATCAACAACAATGACGTCAGCATCAGCATCATCATCATTCATCACTCATCATTCATCACTCATCACTCACAACTATTCAGCATCATCAGCAGCAGCAATGTGTTCATCATCACCGTCTTCGTCATCCTCGTCATCATCATCGTTGAGATACTGTCGACCCTCCTTGTTCCTCCTCGCTCCTCCTCCTCATCATCATCCTCCTTCGCCTCCCCGGCAGGAGCTCAAGGACGGGCTCCAGCACGTGCTCGCCGCCTCGCGGGAGAAGAGCGCGTTGCTGAAGGCGCCCGTCGTCGTCGCGGGGCGGGGCGGGGCGCAGGGCGGGGCGCCGGGGCGGGGCGGCGGGAGGAGGAGGAGGAGGAGGAGGAGGAGGAGGAGGAGGAGGAGGAGGAGGGCCTCTGGGCGCTCTCTTATGTCGTCTTGGGTTCCTACATGTTCCTACTCGGGCCGTCTTGAGGCCGTCTCGGGGGCTATTTTGAGGCCGTCCTGGGCCACATTCGAGGCACACTTGGGCCTTCCTCTGGGCGCTCTCTTATGTCATCTTGGGGTCCTCTTGGGCCGTCGCGAGGCCGTCTGGGGCTATTTTGAGGCCATCTTGGGCTACATTCGAGGCACATTGGGGCCAGCTTGGGCCCTCTTGGAGCTGATTTGCAGGCGCATGTGGACCCTTTCCCGACGTTCCCAGGAGGTCGACGGGTTGGGTCGGAGAGCATTGGGAACCCGTTGGAAGGGCAACAAAAACATAGCCTGACGAATGACCCAACCATCTGCAGCTGCGAGTGCCGCATTGTGGGTACCGCTTTCGGTAGAGCTCCCCATGGGGCTGGGTGGGGGAGGCGCATGCGAACGGTAACACTGGGGCCTTCGGTGGAGCTCCATATGGGGCCACGAAGCGCTGTCTTGGGTGGGGGAGACGCATGCGAACGGTGCTCTGGGGCCTTCGGTGGAGCTCCCTATGGGGCCACGAAGCGCTGTCCTGGGTGGCGTTGACGCATGCGGACCCTGCCACTGGAGCCTTCGGTGGAGCTCCCTGTGTGACCACGAACCGTGTGAGGGGTGTGCCTGCATGGGTGGCGTTGACGCATGCGGACCCTGCCACTGGAGCCTTCGGTGGAGCTCCCTATGGGGCCACGATGGATGGCGTTGACGCATGCGGACCCTGACTCTGGAGCCTTCGGTGGAGCTCCCTATGGGCCCACGAAGCGCTGTCCTGGATGGCGCTGGCGCATGCGGACCCTGCCACTGGAGCCTTCGGTGGAGCTCCTTATGGGGCCACCATACGCTATCCTGGATGGCGCTGACGCATGCGGACCCTGCCACTGGAGCCTCCGGTGGGGCTCCCTATGGGGCCACGAAGCGCTGTCCTGGGTGGCGTTGACGCATGCGGACCCTGCCATTGGAGTCTTCGGTGGAGCTCCCTATGGGGCCACGAGACGCTGTCCTGGGTGGCGTTGACGCACGCGGACCCTGCCACTGGAGCCGTCGGTGGAGCTCCCATGGGGCCACGAAGCGCTGTCCTGGGTGGCGCTGACGCATGCGAGCCTTGACGTTGAAGCCTTCGGTGGAGCTCCATATGGGGCCACGAAACGCTGTCCTGGGTGGCGTTGACGCATGCGGGCCCTGCCAAAGGAGCCTTCGGTGGAGCTCCCTATGGGGCCGCGAAACGTTGTCCTGGGTGGCGTTGACGCATGCGGACCATGCCATTGGAGCCTTCGGTAGAGCTCCCTATGGGGCCACGAAGCGCTGTCCTGGGTGGCGTTGACGCATGTGGACCCTGCCAAAGGAGCCTTCGGTAGAGGTCGCTATGCGGCCACGAATCGCTGTATTGGGTGGGTGAAACGCAGGGAGGTTACGAGGCGGATGGGAGGAGGGAGGAGAGGGAGGAGGAGGAGCGGAGCGGAGAGGAGAGGAACGCGGGGCGCTGCTTCTTCAAAACGAGGACCCAACACCACAGGATGATTGGGAATAAGTCTGCACGTCAAGCACCCATTCGCAGGCAGTAGCCTTATGGACACGACACTATGAGCTCCCTGAACACGTTCCAGAGTGGGACGCATCTTGTGAAGAATGACTTCGCCACAGCTGGGTGACTCGTGAAGCAGGCGTGATTGGAGACCTCATGATTTCCAACGGGGGACTGATTCTGTTCGGCGGCGAGGGAGGGGGGGAAGTGAGAAGGAGAAGGCCTTCTCAGAAGGCGGTGGAGGGCTTCTCAGAAGCCCTCGCGCCTTCTGGGAAGTTGTTTGCCTCTTTGGGGAAGGCTTGGGAAATCTCTCGGACGGCCAAAGGACTTCCGAGCCGGCTGAGAAGGCCTCCCCCTCTTTTCCTCCCCTCGCTCGCCGCCGATAGAAGGGGAGTGATTGGTTGAATGTGCGCTCGGCTTGCTTCCGTTTGCCAAGGCTCCTCCTTCTCGGCCTCTTCGGCATGTCTTTGCCCATCATCCCCATCAGCATCGTCATCCGCAGCAGCAGCAGCAGCGCAAGAATCAGCATCAACAGCACCAACACCATCAGCAGCATCAGAATCGCCACCAGCATAAGCATAAGCATCATCATCGTAAGCATCATCATCGTCGTCATCATCACCATCATCAGCAGCATCATCATCAGCATCATCAATATCATCATCACCTGTGGTCGGCATGGGTGCCTTGAGTCTTTATGAAGGTTTGAGCATGCTAGGTACCGTTGGTGCCTTGGTTTCTTAGACGGTTACGGTGTGGATGGTGTCATTACGTTGTGGGTTGCCTCTAGTGGTGGCTTCAAGGTTGTAATCCGATACATCACAAGCAGCAGAAGCATCCGCATCAACCAAATGCACCAACACGCCGAAAGCACCAGAAGCAACACACAACAGTCCAACGCGCCCAAAGCGCCACAAGCAGCAGCAGCAGCAGCAGCGAAAGCAACAGTCAAACGCACCAGAAGCAGCAAAGGTACCAAGCGCGCATTAGAAAAAGAGGCCAGACTGTGGCCGACATAAAGTTCACTGGTAGATGTTGCATCGGTACCGATTTGCCAGAACACCCGCAATCTCAATTTGTTTCTTGCGCCGTTCATGCAGACGTGCATGTGCTTCTGATTCTATGCACCCGCCGTCTGCCGCAGACGCTGAAGGGGCAAAGGGCAAAAAAGAGCTCCTCGGGTCTTTCGCTGATCTTCGCAAATCGCGTTCGGAACCCTGCCTCTGCCGCCCTTCCCTTCTGTCAATCTAGCTTGTTCGGCACGGCAGTAAATCTCTGGCTTGCTTTAAGCGCAGGTTCCGATCATGGCCGTGGCTAGGTCATGTCCTGGGCCGTTACCGAGTATGTGCCGACATGCCGTAGCATCTGTCGTGCGATGATTGGGTCAACCGGCAAGCGAGAGAAGCAATGCAGGGAAATCCAGCCCACAGCCCCCCCCCCCCTTCTGAGACAAGCGTGGCGGCGTTCGAGACGGAGTGCGGCTTCGTGAACGGCCAGCTGAAGCTGTTGCCGGAGGAGGGCCAGCACAGGGAATGGGAACAAGAAGCCGGCACTGCGCTCTGTCCGGTCGAACTGCATCCACTGCGCGCCGCTGTCTTTGCCCGCACGCCCCCGCCACGATCGGACGCGTGCCGCCCGGGCGCCCCCCAAGACGGAAGCCCGGAGCCCGAGGATCAGCCCGGCTCGCCGCGCCTGCCGCGAGGCGGCCTCGTGGCCGCGGCTGGGCACCTATGGAGGTCCAGGCCGGAACGAAGGATTGCAAAAAAAAACCTTCGTTCAAGGGTTTTGTTTGCAATCCTTCGTTCAAGGTTTTTTTTGCAATCCTTCGTTCAAGTGGGGGCAGGTCACCCCCACCTCCTCTGGTCGCGAAGAACTTCGCGACGGGCGGTTGTCCGGCCGTTCTCGGGCTCTGGGGGCCCACCTGGCCCCAGGACCGTCCAAAAAGTTACCTCCTCCTCCTCCTCCTGCTCCTCCTGCTCCTCCTCCTCCTCCTCCTCCTCCTCCTCCTCCTCCTCCTCCTCCTCCCCCTCCTCCTCCTCCTCCTGCTCCTCCTCCTCCTCCTCCTCCTCCTCCTCCTGCTCCTCCTCCTGCTCCTCCTCCTGCTCCTCCTCCTCCTCCTCCTCCTCCTCCTTCTCCTTCTCCTCCTCCTCCAGGGGGAGGGGGTCCAGACCTCCCGGGGTCCACGCCGTCCATTCGTCCTGACCGCTAGGGGGCCGGGAATACTTAGAAACGAGCAGAACTAGAAATGAGCACGATTAGAAAGGAAGCACGGTCGGCAACGCGCAGAGGGGGGGAGCGGGAAGGGCTTCCTGGACCCAGACATGACCGCGTCGTCAAAAAATCAGGACGGGAGGTTTTGGGCTATTTTCGGCCCCGGGGGTCCCTTGCCGGGCCTCGGGACCGTCAAAAAACGACTCGGGACGAAAAACCGGTCTTGGGGAAAGGGTCGGGACTTCCAGGGACGCCGTCCTGAACAAATCTGGACGTCGCATGTCTGGGGAGAGGAGCGCGAGGAGGAGGTGGAGGACCAGTGCAAGCCCAAGACTCATCAACGATGTTGGAACAAGCCCTCCCTCCAAGCTCCCTCTTCATAGGCCCCATGCAAGGATTCGCTTCCATTTGGGGGAAGTGCCCAGTTGGGAGACAGCCGTTTACAGATCCTAGAGCGTTCCAAAACACAAGTCTCAGGACTCCAACGCCACGAATCAACCTGCCTGTTGCGTCTTGACGATCCTGAATCGCACAAGAACACCATTCCTGGGACGTCGAAACCCCGAATCAACGCAACGGTTGCGCCCTGGCAATCCTGAATCGCTCCGACACACCACATCTGGTACGTTAACCATATGAGCCAGTGAAACTCTTGCAGCTGTCAACGACGACTGTGCGCGGCGCGAAGGCGAGAGCCACATTTTGAAGAGAGGCCGCCCTCATTCTGTGAAACGTTATAGGAAAATTGTTAAGCGAAATGCACGCGGCACTAAGGCGAGAGCCACAACTTGAAAACCGTCCGCTCCCTATCTGTGAAACTGTGGGCAATGTTTAAGCTTCGTGATGATTGATGGGGAGGAAGTCTCAGGCGAAACGCCTGGCCCGCCCTTCCGACTGGCCTTGGGGTGCGACAGAGAGGAGTTATTCATAAGGACAAGGAATGGAGGAGGAAGAGGAGGAGACGGAGGAGGAGGAGGAGACGGAGGAGGAGGAGGAGGAGGAGGAGGAGGAGGAGAACGACGAGGTCGGCGTGCTTGGCCCCAAGACGTGCCTCGAGCAATCGCGCCGCCGGCCCTCACCTCCGCGGAGACGTGCCTCGAGCAATCGCGCCCCCGGCCCTCACCTCCGCTGAAACGCTCGCGTCGCGAGGGTGGGGGTGAGGGCCCGCGCGCGCTCGCGAACTCCCCGACGCCGGCGCGTTCCGCAGAGGCGAGGGCGGGGAGCGCGAGGGTTAGGAGCCCCTCTCGAGCAGCTTGCGACAAGATTCGCACAGAATACGCTGACGGGTATTGTGTTCGGTGCTTGCGTGGTCGGCGCCACTTCAATGCTGTCATGCGATACTGGAGAGCTGGTGCCGCCGACCCTGAACGACGACGACGACGACGACGACGACGACGACGACGACGACGACGACGACACCGACGACGACACCGACACCGACGACGACACCGACGACGACGGCGACGACGACGGCGCTACTTCCATGCTGTCATGAGTTCTTTGGCCTTGACGCAGGGGTGTTTGGCCCAGACGCAGGGGTGTCCGAAATCCAGCTATACCCTCACAGCATTGAGGAACGCGCGCTCTGACAAGTGTCCGCACTGCCGCGCGCTCCGCATTTTGAGCAGCGTATCCATTTATGCTTGACGAGGCTTGTAGTAGGGCTGGAGTCGGCTGGGGTCTGAGGTGGCCCAGCGCTGGTTCCGGCGAGCAGGCAGGGGAGGGCGAGGCTGGAGGTCCTGGGTTCCAGCAGACGTTTGGCCTTCTTCTGCCTCTGGAAGGCTGCTTTCGGGGCCTGGCACCGGCAGAAACCGATCCGGGGCAGAAACCTCCAGGATGGACCGCGGGAGGGGTCCCGGGACCCATTTTGCACGGCTTCGACTCCATCCCCCCTTGCGGATGCAGTTCCTGGGAGGTCAAATTATGATTTTGCCATGGTCCGAAGTCCGTCTACATCCGGCTTTATCTGGCTTAATCCCGTTGAATCGGGCTTAATCCTGTTTATTCCCGTTTAATCTGGGCTAATCCTGCTTAGTCCGAGGCCCACTCCAGCGTAACAGCTCCCAAATGGGGCGTCATCCTCCCTGATCTTTCCGACGAAAACCTCCCAGCAGTTGCCTCCTAACCCCTTCTGGCCGATCTTTCCCGGGCCCAAACCAGTTCAGACCCCCCGGGCGCCTCCAACTCTGGGGCCACTGGTCTGGCCGGAGATGGCGCGTGCCAAGCACACCGACCGAAGGCTCGGCCGGCGCCCGGCGCCCAGAAGTCTCGGACGGCGCGAGGTGTTCGGTGAGAGTCGGGCCTGTCCCTCTACAGGAGGAGCACTCAAAAATAGCATCAATAAAAAGGAGTATACATATATATATATATATATATATATATAATATATATATATGTATATGTATGGTCTGGGGGCGACTTCCAGAGCATTTGGCAACTTTTGAGCATGTTATGACTATCTTTAAGTTTTCGCCCAAAATCCCCCTGTAGGAGGACACGCCCGACCTCATGTTCGATGGCGCGCCCCCAGCTCGAAAAAGAGAAAATTGCATACACATGGTTCATTTCTAAATCTTCGAGAGTTCTTTGAATTTTTGGGGGGCCAAGATCCTTTCACTTCTGACTGTGCCAGCCTGGCCCTCTTCCTGGCCACTGGAGGGCCAGGAACAATTTGAAAACGAGCACAGTTAGAAATGAGCACGATTAGAAATTAACGTTATGACGGGCGTGTCCCCCTACAGGGGGATTGTCGACGAAAAATTAAAAATACCCCAAAAATACCCCAAGAAGGCAAACAAACAACTCAAAAAGCAGTCCCCAGGCTATTGTTGGAGTATGTTTTGATTACTGTTGGATTTTTTTTGTTCGTCGAAAATCCCCTTGTAGGGGGACGGGCCCGACTCAAAGTTAACAACGCGTAGACATTGCGAGGGTTTCTTGCGGCCGCGCCCGCACTGCAGACAGGCTCTCTCTGGCCTCCGCGTGGACTTCTCGGGTCGGCACGGGGCCCCCCCCCATGGCGGCGCTCCGTGCGCCGGGGAGGGGGGTCGGGCGCCGATCCAAAAGATCCGCGCGGACGACTCCTCCGCCTCCTGCGCCTCCTCCTCCTCCTCCGCCTCCGCCTCCGCCTCCTCCTCTTCCTCCTCCTCCTCCTCCTCCTCCTCCTCTTCCTCCTCCTCCATAGGAGTTTGTATGTTTATGTCAGTGGTTATTGGTCGGGCCTGTCCCTCTACAGGAGGAAAATTCCAGAATAGTTGTTTTCTTTAGTATGGGGGGACGATTTATGGACTAGTTTGGGCCACTTTGGGATATGTTGCGACTAGTTTTCATTCTTCCCCAAAAAATCCGCCTGTAGGGGGACAGGCCCGACTTAACCCTAGAGAGAAGTCATGTTCATGTGCTTTCTGGTTCACTTAGTGGTGTTCCCGATTATTTCCAGGGAGGCAGGTTTTCATCCCAGATTGATGTTTGATTGCCCCAGGGGTCACGAATTATTTCTGGAGGCCAGAATTGGCAAAAGACCAGCGGGATTGGAAAGATCGATCCACCAGGCGTTTGGGTGTTATTCCCGCGCGCGCGCATTCAAAAGCTTCCGAAAATCATGGACGGAGGATTCCCGTCCAGGGTTGGGCAGACGGCATGGCCAGTTGACGTTGTGGTCTGTATTATGGGGCGCTGGCGGCACAAGAGGGGCATCGCCTGAGAAAGCGAAGGCAGGTTCAAGGCGAAAGCGAAGCCTACAATGTCGCACAGCCAAGACGCCGAAGCAAGGACCACGCTGGTTTCGGAAGGGGCTCGCTGGTCCTTAGGTCCTTCCCTGGCTGTTCCTCTAAGCGAGCGTGTCTGTGGTGGATCTGTTTATGCCATTGTTCCTCCTCGGCCACCTGCCCTCATGGTAGAAGCCTGGCTGTATCGCACCGGGCCGCACCGTATTGCCCGCCTCCGGCCCGCCGGCAAAGAAGCGCGGCCGCGGCCGTCGGCCTGCTCCGCCCCGATGCCGCTGGAGTCCGCTCAGTCCCGCTTCAATCCCGCTTACTCGGGCTTACGGTCCGGAATTTAGGTGTCG